AAATTAATGTCAGTTCTTTGTTTGGTATATTCCTGATGGTAAGTTCTAATTTATTGTAGAATTCTTCGATTTTATTGTCCTCTGCCGTTGCTGTCGGTGCATATATTTGAATGATGTTGAATTTATGAGGTTTGCCGTCTAGTCTAAGGAGAACTATTCTGTCGTTTACAGCTCTAAATTCTATGACGGATTTATGGATTCTGGCTGATATCAAAATGGCTACGCCAATGTTTGTTTGTCATTGCCAGAGAAATAGACATAATTTCCATTAGAGGTTTTGATGTAGGCCTCCCCTAGCCAGTGTGTTTCCGCCAGTTTATATATATATATATAACATAAATAAGTAATAATCATCATATAAACCTACTTAAATAAATAAATCAGAAACATATCTGGTCTTTATTTAGTATGAACACTCTCTATCATCATTATCAACTAACTGTGAAATTTAAACACCCCTATCACCAATTAAAGGGAAATTGAAGCTTCACCCCTACTAGTTAGTAGGGAAGTAGTTACACAGCGAAAACATTTAAATTTGCTTTGAATAGCACTCGGTTGCTTTCAATTATATAGCGTCTCAGTGGCGTAACTAGGTTGACCTAGGCACCGGATATCATCATTTATAGTTATTGAGTTGATCGCTCTTAAGAATGCCTAGAGAAACTGAACAAATTAAGCAAAGAAAATAAAGTCCTCTTACTCTGGGTTCCAGCCCATCACGTGATAGAAATTAATTAGAAAGCAACCTTCTAGGTAGAAAAGGAGCGAACACTCCACTAACTGGGCCAGAACCATAGACTTAAAATAAAATATAGACTACACATTTACATCTAAATGCGGTCAAATAATCTTTTTTGTACACGTGTTTACTTCTGGGTACAGTCGACCGCAGTCAACCTAGCCTTCCTCATCGAGCCTATGTTGTCACGTCTTTAACATTATCAATATTTTTTTTCTTATTATACACATATATTGAGATATTAATACTGCATTTTAATAAAGTAGGTTTTAATATTCCATAGATGTATTAAATACCCCTTATACTACTAAATTATAAGTCGGGTACTATTTAAAAAGGATAGATTCTTTAAAATATGGCAACACCAATTAGACGCAAGGTCGCCTATTCATTCTTCTATTATTATCTTGTAGTACGCGTCGCACGTGTGTAGGAAACAGGTAGTAAACCATTATTGCCACTACTTCCCTCTCGCTGTATTAACGCATTTTCTTAGTTTGCAGTCCTTAAGTTTTTATTTTATTTACTTTTTCTATTCAAGAACTATAAAATATGGTTCGCCAGTGCCAAATTTGCAAAAAAATTGACTTAAATAATCCGTTTAAATCTTGAAACGACTTTCGGCCGGTAGGCAACCGACACATTTCTGACCGGACATTCCCAATCTAGATGTATTGAAACTAGTGATGGAAATAATCGAATTATTTTCACCATCGAATAATTAGTAATAATTCATATTTCACAATCGAATTAATAATTCGAATTATTTAGTAGTATTATAAATTTAACCTAAAAATAAATTCGTCCCAGCTAGTGCTCGTCTAGGGGCTATTTTAAACAAATCTGAACCATTGCCATACCTATATTCTATCACTGAATAAAAAATAAAAAAAAATTCTTTATTCAATGTATTCTATTAACTGTGCCGAAGCCGTTTAATAAATTAAACCATAATTTAAAGTTACAAATTTAAAATTGCCGAGTATCGTATTTTTTCGTATTTCTTTTTATTTTATCAGTTGCAATCAATAATTATTTAGATAAAAGAAGAAAATTAATTTTAGTGTTCGGCAGGTGTTCGGTGAAATTTGGGTGAGATGGAAATGAACCAAATAATAGTAGTATTCTTTCGTTCTGAACGAAATGAAAATTTTTACTTAAACTGATTTAATTTTCACTTAAACTGATTATTACGTGGTATAGGAAATAACAATGATTTCTGGATTTTTCTATATCGGATCGTTCCTTTCTTTGTCGATTCCCTTTATAAATCAGTTTAAGTGAAAATTTTCAGTTCGTTCAGAACGAAAGAAGACTACTAATAGTACTATACTAATTACTAATATTCGTATTCGTCCATAAGAGGTTATGTTTTATGTTCATTTGTAATTCGGTTAACCACAGATATAATATAAAATACTACTAATTTTTATCTCGATTATATCGAAAAAGATAATTCGAATTAGTTAGTTTTAATTTACTATCGAATTAGTCGTATTATTTAATTTGAATTTTCCCAACACTAATTGAAACTTTAACCTGGCTTGAGGAGGGTAGTAAGTGCTGCATTAAATACCTTAGTAGTTACGCCACTGGCACCAGAATGTCTGTGTGCGACCCTTAATTTGGGGATAATTTCCAGCCAATTAGGCATCGAATCTCTATAGAAAGTAGACAAATAGGGTGGTGTGTGCTGTTATTGTCGGGATTAGTTTTGTATATAAAATACTTGTAACTGATGAATAGATGGCACTTTTCAACTGATATAATGGGGTATACAAGCCTGCTCATTTTAGAAGTGGTGATGAGACAAAATTATTTACATTTTATCACGATCAAACATGATTTTCAACAAAATTCGATGCTGGTCAATTACAGGTTGATTCTCACTAAACCTTCCGTTTCCATTCCATATCCGTTCCATACTTTTTATTGTATTGGCGCTATACGTAAGTTTCCGTTCTGTATCAGTTCCATACTTTTTATTGTATTGGCGCTATACGTAAGTTTCCGTTCTGTATCAGTTCCATACTTTTTATTGTACAGGGTGTCCCACTAAGAATAGCTCTCGGCTGTATCTCAGAAAGTATTAGTCGTAGAGCTTGCGGAAAAAAAGATTTATGACTAAAGAGAGCATGAGAAATTGCTGGAAATTATTTTCAAGTTTGTAGAGCGGCCGCTAGAGGGCGCAACTGCTATTAAAAATAAGAAAATAGAATTTTTCCAGAATTTTGCCTAGATAATGGGTCCTATAAATAATAGCTTCATAATCTTCACTAAATTTTGGATTTTTTTCATTAGAAATTCAAAATGCCAACAACTTCAACTACTTTAAATAATAAAGGCATTTTGAAAAGGCCATTAAAAGATAAAAAAACGGTGCTAAAACTATCAAAATGTTGATCTAATAACAATTTGACGTTTATACTATTACGTCAAAGCAAGTTTTTTCCAAAGCCAAGATGACTTTACTGAATTATCGTTATTAATATCTGAATCATTAGACATTAATACATCTTGTATTAATGTACATATTCTGGTATTTCGTCGATTTTAAAATAAACTAACTGTTTCTATCTTATTTTTTTGTTAGAATGGGCATAATCAAGAGGGCTACTGATACCGTGTTGTAAAAATAAGGTAAATTAAGGGCTTATTTTTTGGTATTTATGATAATTTTGCTAATATCTTCGGTTTGAAAGAAGACATGAAGATGTGGTTTTCGCTGACTTTTTAATATTAATTTTTTTGAAGAAACGCGCTATGTTTGTTAAATTGTAAGAAAGCGTCCCCTAGCGTCTACGTTCAAAACCTGATTATTATTATTTTTATGGTATAATATAGAGTAAGAAACGCTCTTTTAAACGAGCCCTCGTTTGTTGGATTCTGATCATCCAGTCCGGAGTTATTAACATTTAAATAAAGATAGATCTAACCTTCCCCCACCACTTTATTTTAGTAGATAGGGGAAAATGGTTCTAACAAAAAAAATCCAAAATTTACTGAAGATTATGAAGCTATTATTTATAGTACCCATTATTTAGGTAAAATTCTGTAAAAATTCTATTTCCTTATTTTCCATAGCGCCCTCTAGCGGCCGTTTTACAAACTTGAAAATCATTTCCAGCAATTTCTCATAGCCCCTTTAGTTATAAGTATTTTCTTCCGTAGGCCCTACGGCTAATACTTTCCGAGATACAGCCGAGAGCTATTCTTAGTAGGACACCCTGTACTTTTAACTGATGAATAGATGGAACTCTTTTCAACTGATTATAATGGGGGCGACA